GGGGCACTAGCTGCGCCCCCTCCCCCCCAGCAGACCAAGGAGACCCGAGCAAAGCCGCGGAGGCGCAGAGGTCCCACCGCCTCTGCGGCTTTGCTCCGGGGCAAAGGAGCAAAGCCGCATGCGGGGCGGGGTCCCGCCGCCTGCACGGCTTTGCTCGGGTCTCCCTGCTGTGCTGGGGAATCCCCCCCAGCACACCAGGGAGACCTGGAGCAGCTTTTCTCGCCCCGGAGGACGCGGCGGCGAGACCACAGTGCTCTGGGCGGTCCTGCCGCCCGCGAGCTCCAGGGTGAGAAAAGCCCCGTTCGTAAGTGCAGATCCGACGTAGGTCGGGGACTGCCTGTAATACTTAGCTGTTTAAATTTTCCAAAGTGCTGTTCTAATGTTAACTAGTGAATCCTCACATGTGTTATCTTCATTTTACAGAAAGGGAGGGAAAATCAAGGAACAGAAGTGATGGTTTGATTCTACAGCAGTTAGTCCAGGGACTAGTCCAACTAAATGTAATATTCAAATTCAGCTCTGATGAAAGTGGATACAATTTCACTGACTTCTGGATAAGCTCATTAGAAAATCCAGGCAAAGACCCAATTACCAGACCACTTCAACACATTTTGATTCCACTGACCAATGTTGCCTCTGAAGGATTGCTGAAGGTTTTGGCTGTCCACATGAGATAAGTTAGCTGTTCTGTACATAGTGTCTGAGCACTCAGATCAATTTATTAAGAACAATTTGGTACTGATATTTCTCACATAATATTATTTACATGCCAAATGGATAACGTAATCCAGCATTGACACTGTCTTTAGCTCCTGAGAAAACATTCAAACTCATGAAGTGAAAGTATTTATTCCACACATTCACTGTGTTCCAAACTAACTGAGAGTCAATGTATCATATTGACATGCATCTGACGAAGTGGGTCTTTGCCCGTGAAAGCTTATGCTCCAACACTTCGGTTAGTCTCTAAGGTGCCACAGGACTCCTCGCCGCTTTTGCAGATTCAGACTAACACAGCTACCCCTCTGATACTTAATGTATCATAGTTAGTCACTTTTAAAAGTAGCTCTGTATTTCTAAAGAGATACATCAGTTGAAGACCAATGTCACAGTTCAGGGCAACAATTTCTATACTGCCCCTCTGGGGCACTCACTCTCAGGCTTCCAGTTCCCCTGACCATCATCTCTGTGGTGGGGAGAGGAGACCCATCTCTCTTTCCCAAGCATCACCAGAGCAAACAGTTCCCTGCCTTTTTCCTGATCCAGCAGGACTGTTGGATGAGCTCCC